CTCAACTGGCTCCTCTCGATATGGAGAAGTAGCGGCTCTACTCTTGAGTCCCTCCTGGATGACCAAGCTTCTCACCCTATCTCTAAGGGAGAGCCCAGACACCTTGTGGAGAAAACTCATTTTGGCCGCTTGTATCCGAGATCTCGTTATTTCGGTCACAACCCAAAGCTCATGACCATAGATGAGGATAAGAACATAGATCGACCTGTAAATTGAGAGCTTCGCCTTTTGACTCAGCTCTCTCTTCACCACAACAGACCGGTACAGCGCCCGCTTCACTGCAGACGCTGCACCTATCCGCCTATCGATCTCATGCTCCATTTTTCCCTGATTCATGAACAAGACCCCGAGATACTTAAACTCCTCCACTTGGGGCAGGACCTCCTCCCCGACCTGAAGAGGGCACTCTACCCTTTTCTGGCTCAAGACCATGGCCTTGGATTTGGAGGAAATGATTCTCATCCCAGCCGCGTCACACTCAGCTGCGAACCGCTCCAGCGAAAGCTGTAGATCACGATCTGATGAAGCCAATAGGACCACATCATCTGCAAAAAACAGAGATGTGATTTTAAGGCCACCAAAACGCATCCCCTCAACACCTTGGCTGCACCTAGAAATTCTGTACATAAAAGTTATGAATAGAATCGTGACAAAGGACAACCTTGGCGGAGTCCAACTCTCAACTGTAACGAGCCCGACTTACTGCCGGCAATGTGAACCAGGCTCTGATGCCGGTCGTACAGGGACCTAACAGCCCATGTCAAAGGGCCTGGTACCCCATACTCCCGGAGTACCCCCCACAGGGCTTCCCGAGGGACGTGGTCAAATGCCTTTTCCAAGTCCACAAAGCACATGTAGACTGGTTGGGCAAACTCCCACGCACCCTCCAGGACCCTGCTGAGAGTGTAGAGCTGATCCAGTGTTCCACGACCAGGACAAAAACCGCACTGCTCTTCCTGAATCCAAGGTTCGACTATCCAATGGACCTTCCTCTCCAGAAACCCTGAATAGACCTTACCAGGGAAGCTTAAGCTCATGATCCCCCTGTAGTTGGAACACACTCTACGGTCCCCCTTTTTGAATAGGGGGACCACCACCCCAGTCTGCCAATCCAGGTGAACTGCCCCCGATGTCCATGCAATATTGCAGTCGTGTAAGCCAACACAACCCCACAACATCCAGAGCCTTAAGGAACTCCGAGCGAATCTCATCCACCCCTGGTGCCTTGCCACCGAGGAGCTTTTTAACCACCTCGGTGACCTCAGCACCAAAGAATGGAGCCCAACCCAAAGTCCCCAGGCTCCGCTTCCTCAGTGGAAGACGTGCTGGTGGGATTGAGGAGGTCTTCAAAGTATTTTGCCTGCCCAGATTAGACCAGTATTTGCAGTTTGTCTCCCATCACCCTTTGGA